CAGATATTTGTGTAAAAATGTAAGGAGTAGAAGTAAAAAGTCGCCATAAAAATAAGTAGTAAAGTAAAGTAAAAATATCAGAAAAATGTACTTGAGTATTTGTACTTCGTTACTTCCCATCTCTGCCTCTATCACATAAGAAAAAACAATTAGACTTCAAAGAAAGCATTTTCTTTGACAATAGCCTTCTTTTTGTCGCTCTAATAGAGGTCAGCTTTATGAAATGTTGGATATTTGTCTTATCTGTCAAAAGATTCTCCCACCTGAGCTGTGATACTTGGAAGCTGCGCCATAATTAGGGCCCCATTGCGGTTTCTCCAACTAAATGTCACCTTACCGTACTTTGTGTAGATGGACAGCCATGTCTTGGTATGTTTCTATATTTGGAAGGTGTATTGAGCAGTGCACCATTTCATCTTAAAAGCTTTGGATATAAATATATGTTTCATAATCATACCCTGCTCTAAACATCTCCAAAAATAACAGATCTTCTGAAATTAAATAAAACAAAGATGACCTCTATTTACTTATTAAGTGACTCCTGAAGGCAATGGATCTAAATCAAATATAATACAAAGGACTAGTTTAAAGATGGGTAAATAAAAATGCATCCCATGCTTTTTTTTTTTTTTTTTTACTAATTTTTGCAATATATTTCTTGAAAGCCTTTCCGTCCTCTTCCCAAATAATGCTTATTTATGTTAGTCTGAAATTATGATAATTACTGACTTTAAAAATATTGAAAAGTGAAAAATGTTTGGAAACATATGCAAGACACTGTATTAGACGTTTTGTTCAAAATCCCTAAGCCAGTAACATATCTACGTACAGCAGTGTAAATGTTTTTTTTTTTTCCTTATCTTTTTTTTTAGTTAAAACATGTATTTTTCTTCGTTTTTTTTTTCTTTTCTTTTTAAAGTGTCCAGCTACTACCCGGATATTGATTTCAGGATGCACAGCAGCGTGTCAACCACCAGAGGGAGCCAGAGGATCTAAAACTTTTCCCCCCACGCCGCATTCTAATATTAATTACAACGGTAACCACCAGAGGGCGACATTTAAGCCTGAAAGACTGGCCCAGAGCAGTTGTTTGGAACAAATTCATGCAAACAGCCACAGCAGCTGTCGCAAGGTTGTGCAGCGCATACAAATGAATAACATCGATCGTTTCCCTCCCCATCGCTGTCCTTGTTTTTGGCTTTAGTAACCTGGACTGACGCACTATAACCTACAGACGCTGCAAGGAGGGTCAATTTGTCACTACTTAACAACTATATACTAGAAGTATAATAACTTAATTTAAGAAGGGGGACGCACCAAAAATGGGGGATAGCAATAGGAATCCCTCAATGTAAAAACGTAGATCATAAAGCGTGGCGATAAATCTGTAAAAAAAAAAAAAAGTATTCCCAAAGGCAGCGTTTGTTTCAATCATTTACTGCCACTAGGTCCGCAGTGCTCCACCAGCCTGTTGTTTTGTTTTCATTCCGGACGCCCCGCCCCCTCAGAGGAAAACATAAAAATAAACAAACACGCCACCACATCATCTTAGCTCTGTGTAATGTTATATGCATTTAAAGGGGAATCTGTTGCAGCTAAAGCCTTTAAAGAAACTGAACGCATTGGTGTCAGTGGAACGAGCCATGCTGATGTCAGAGGTTTTCTTCCCCACGCAGCTCAACATGGTGGGAGGATCTCTGTGCATTGAGTCACGCAGCTGTCAAAGATAGCTGTCACCCACTTCCACGATCAAACACACACTGAGTCAACGAGGAAAGGGGCTTTGAGAGCAGAAAGGACGGAGAGGTCTCAGGTAAACCCCCAAGGCTATCGCTTTTCTCTCTTTTTTTTTAAAATAAAGCCTCCCTAAAAGGACCTGAGAAAAAAGGAAATAAACATTTTCTATTTTTATTTTATTTTTTTTAAAGAAACTTGATGAATAAGGATTTCTTTCCCTGGGATACACGCTGAACGGAGGAAAAGAGACATAAGTGGGCTTTTTTTCCCTAGCAGAGATGAAGACGAAAAAGGGTAAGTGGGATGTTTTGGATCAGATTGTTGTGGTGTGAGAAAATCAGCAGAATCCTTCCTTCTCCATATGCAAACCATGCAGTCCATTGTTTCCTTCCCTGACATGACAGGGGGCTTTTCTTCCACCATGTGCTGGCGCGGTGTCAAAAGTCTATCCGCTTGTTTTTCCACTCACCTTTTAGGATAACGTTACACGTGTTTTTATGCCACTTTTGTTTATATGTTAAAAAAAATTCTCGTGCGTTTAAGCGGATTTAACGACTTTTTTTTGTGTAAACTGAAAAAAAAAAAACAAAAAAAAACGTTTAAACTTCAAACAAAGATACAAAGTCATTTTTTCCTTCCCTTTCTGTTTCGGTAGCTGTCGCTGATATGCGGCTGAGGTGATGATATAAGCCCAAGTTGCTGGGAACCATTGTTTGTGTTTGTGACGTTTTCACAACGTGCTTTCTTTTATTTGAATCGACACATTGGAGCGTTTCTCTCTTAAAGTGACATAATTAAACGCGGGGAACCAGAAAGCAGGCTCGTGTTTATCCTGACCTCATTGTTGGGAAGTTTCGTGGACCTCGTGGCGCGGCTCATTCACGCAGACACACAATAGAAACCCTCTCACCAGTTGGTTTAAACTTACAAAAGAAAAAACCTGCGACTTCATTGTGTTTGGACACTTTTTCTGCTCGCTGTGGTTAGCCGTAACTTTTAGAAAGGTGTTGAGCTCTCCATACGGTATATTTTAGCGAGTGGAAACTTTTCAGTTGGGTACAAAGAAGCACGCAGCCCTTGGGTTCTTTTGTTTAGTCTGGAGACGCTGATTTGCAACAGGTCTCCCCTCCCCCTTTCCCCTCTCCTCCAGCCTACGTAATTACCTCATCCTGTTGGGAACTTTCTTGCTCTTTTCCTACTACTTTGTTTCTTAGACCTGTAGCTGAACAGAGGCGTATCCAGAATATTCTTATAAGGGTGTCCAGGCAATAACTAATGTACACTAAGGGGTGACACCAGAACTTGTTCCAACAGGAAAATTTACACGCAAAACTTCCATATTTTCTAAAATAAAGACTAATTATACTTTTCTACAACCTTAGCTAACAAATAGACACATAAATTTAAACATCAATCGTCATAATCCACGGTGTAACAACACAACAATTGGCCCCCAAGGCAACATTATCTGGGTGGGCCCCATACGAAGTAAAACACTCTGGATTACCCATAATTCCAAGTCGTAGTGTAAAAAAATAAAATACTCTAATACATTGTTTTTTTAAGACCTTTATTATTTGTACCATGTTATATCAGTGTATTTTTTACCAACCGTCTAATGAACTATACACAGTTATGAACATAGTAATTAAAAGTACCACTGTCTGCTTTGTTATTGGTGTCCTGTTTAAACAGCTCATCATCATGTTGAAATCTGCCATGTGTTGGGGTATAAATAAGGTCCGGTCAGTCACCTTACAATCAGATGGGTTTTAAGAGGAATTTTTCGCTCCATTACGTCTGCAATCAGACGTCCCAATCCACAATTGCGAAGGGGGCCTGCCAGGTGTCGTTAACGGGGCCCCTAATAGGTCGGGGGCCCCTAAGCAACTGCAGTCTGCGCTTACTGATATTTACGCCATTGTTCGTAATTTCTAGATAAAAGGTAGAGTGGATAAAACTCAGTTTTGAGTTCTGGGGCATACATCAATGATCATTGTCATTACTTACTTGATTCAATACGCATTCTGCATAAAATTGATATTTACAAGCACTAATATCTACATAAATTGATTATTTGATAAGTTTTTATTCAAATTGTTGTTTATCTTTGATTTCACTGAAGACTACTAGATGACTTGCAGACACATAATTTTCTATTTTCCCCATATAAGACAAAATCTAGTTCTGAAAAGAGCATGAATTCTGTACTTATCATCTTTGATGTTAGTATATTGATGTGTATAATTAACCAGAATAAAAACTCGAGAGTATTACTGCTGCCACAGTCTGTATTAGAGGGGGGGGGAAATGGTAGGGGTGGCCAATGATTGGGTAAGGGTGGCCATGGCCACCCCTAGCCCCCCATCTAGCTCCGCCCCTGTAGCTGAACGTTTTTTTTTTGTTTTTTTTCCACCCCAAAAGTGCACTCAAATAGCTTCAGGTGTAAATATTAATCAGAATAAATCATATCTGAATGGCAGAACGTTTTAAAAATTAAGTATTTCTTCCAGAAGACGATAATTTTAGTGTTCAATCTGCTTCTAGTCAGGGGTTTCATATCAATATAAAAGTTTTTAAAGTGTCCACTTACCATTCTTACAGTTATTAGAATGAGATGCCACACAGTGTTAAAGTGACAGAAATTTTCTTAAAGGTATAGAGGATGATGTTCTTTTTCCGGGTGGATCATCAAAATAAGTGGTCCTCCAAGCTGTCAATCATTCTGGTGATATGTTTACATAAGGCCGTCCTACATGCCCGTCCCCATTTTTACTCACCAGTGGTGAGTCTGACAGGGTGGAAAAATTGCTAATCTTCTTTTGGAAAGTCAGCTTGTATGAGCGATGCAAAAAGCAACTTTTAAACAGAGAAATGGGCTTGTGCATGCTCTTGCGAATTAAACATGCGTTCAATAAGAGTTCCCTCTCTGGAGCAGGTACAGGGTAGTGCATGTTTTTTGGAGAGGGCATATCTTCTCAAAAATTCACACAAACTTCTCTATTATACCTTTAAGCCTCGTGGACCAAAACACAGTTCCCCTCCCCAAGCTGTTGCTGCAAACTCTGGTCTGTTGGCTGAAGTGTTTTTCTCCCTAATTTAAAGGAAATATACATTTATGTGTTGAGCTTTGAATACGTTCCAGGGTTGGAGTTTAGCAAAATCTTGCTTAAGCCTCAAGGATTTGTAGTCCTATGAATTACATTATTTTTAGTTTTTTTTAATATATGGTTTTTACAAACCATATACTAAATAGGATTAGCACAACAAACTTAACATTGTTAATACTGGTCTTTTTTAGTGACTGTTTCATGCCATTTGCATGGTTTAGTATAGTAACTGTAGCAATTCTGTCCTTTTTTCTACACCTAAAGATGATATTGTGTTTCTGAAGCAGTTAAAAAAAAAAAAAAAGACACATAGTTTGGCACACAAATATTTCAAGGTGATGTACTTAACAAGAATACTTCATCTCTCCATCAGCCTTTGCTGATTTGCTTATATAAAATAAACATTGTATAATAGCTAAGCCGGCTTTTGCCCAGATGCCACATCATCTGAAACGTTTCCCTTTAACAGACTTGTTGTAGAAACTACTGAAGCATCCCCAATCAGTCCTATTAAGCCTATAAAGGTGGGAACTTTAACAGATATTAACTGATAGTGTTGGCATATCTACTGCAGTAGTTTTGAATAAAAGCGATAATATAAAATTTGTTTCAAAAGGTTTAAAAGTGAAAATAAATCTTTTCACTAAAGTCTTTTTTTTTTTCTTTGAGAGTCTTATACTACCCTGTGACTGTAGAACGGGAGAAATGTCTAACTTCTTTTTACTTTTGAAAACAGAACATCTACATGCACTGAAAGACAAGAAGAAGCCCCATACTGTCCTAAGATGATATAAATGAATAAAAGCTCTTGTAGCAAAGTTATTCCTGGAAAAGGAAGGAAGGGGTTAGGTGTATTACTTAACGCCATGGTGGTGGCCGTGTTGATATGCCGCTGTAATGATGATTTAAAAGTCCCAAACCACTGTTTTATTATGACTAACGTTGAAAGTGAAGCCTCTAATCTTCAAAGTCAGCATCCCACTTTAATATTCATTTCCGACCAGTTTGGATCGTTTAAGGCACATTTTCTTTTCTTTTTTTTTTGTGACACAGCATCAAACCAGTCTTTGTGACGTCCCCCCTTTCCTTCATCTCTCCCCCTCCCCTTTTCTCCTAACACCCTCCCTCCTTTGCTTCTTATATGAATCACATGGCTGAACTTGACAGCTCGCTTCTGACACATCAGCTGCCTTCCAGCAGACTTGATGAAAATGGCATAGGCCCTTCCTTTTTCCTGTCTTGTCCTAATGTGCTCTCCTTCTCTGGTTTCAGGTCTGGCGATGCTGTCGGGGAGCGAGACGGACGACGAGGATAGCGTCGATGCCCCTCTGGACCTGTCCTCTAGTGCTGGGAGCAACGGTAAACGGAAACGGAGAGGCAACCTGCCCAAAGAGTCAGTCCAGATCCTCAGGGATTGGCTGTATGAGCACCGTTACAATGCTTACCCCTCAGAGCAGGAGAAGGCCCTTCTCTCCAAACAAACTCAGCTCTCCACGTTGCAGGTATGATGTGGAGACACATAAAATGACCTAAGATTTTCTGCCTGTAAACAATTACAGTAAGAGAAAAAAACCCACCAGTGTAAATCTGAGGAGGAAATGAGCAGGAGCTTGACTCATATCCTGTCAAGATGGCAAACGCAGCACTTCAACAGTGAATTGAAGGTCATCCAAACCAGCTCTACGTTGCAACATGAAAAAGTATATGAGGCAACGTGAACAAACTCACTGCCTGTGAGTGCTGAGGGTTTGGCTGAGAGACATTGGACAGGAATTTCCCTCCCTCCAGCCGCGTTCCATCCCAGCTGTCTGGGAACAATGCACAGTCATTTACATACTTAGAGTTACTGGCCTCCCTGAGCCAGTTACAACTAGCCTGAAGGGGCAAACAAAAAGGGGGTGGGACAACCGTCATTAGGGCTGTAACAAAGGAGATCAGCTCCTTATTGAAAGCTGTTAAAATCATAGTTAACGATTCTGGATGTTAATTCCTAAGCAGTAAATAAATTACCTAAATATAACTCCTTGACATCTTCATTTATGATTCAGCAAAATTGGTTTGTTGCCGAGACTGAAGCTTTATTCATATCCAAGGTTGGCTGGTTATTTAGATCCAGGCCGATGATTATTTATGCTTGAAATGGAGCCAGAAGGTGGCGTGTAACCAGAGATCTTCCCAATATTGATTTTAATGTGCAAAGAAGAATAAATAAAGAAAATGTTTTTTATATAAATGATTAATTTCAGAATTTTACACCTATTTAACTCTACATCTGACACTTCAAGTAAATAGGCACTACATGCTCTATTTTAAGTGTGTTTCAGACAGGAAGATTAATCGCGCTTGTAAACAACTTCACAATATCAACATGAAAAAGAAAACATTTAAAGGTTAAAAAACCCCACCTGAGTAAGGTCATTATTTAAATTTTTTTTTTAAATAGGCCAAATGTGGCACATCTTTTCATTTATCACGTTCCCCGTCAGACAAGCAAGAGGTTATCAGGAAGTATGAATTCTGACCGTTAAGGTGTTTTCAATATGGCAAAAAGGAAAGGTAGTGAAAGTTACTGGAAATAAAAGTTTGCTTCTGATGGTAAATATATGTCTAAACAAGTGGCACTATTCAACCTCTGCTGTTCCCGTTGTTTTAAGACACACACGGTGAAGAGAAATACAAAATATATAACTTGTGATGCCAACAGCATTCTTGCTTAGAATAAAAAACTGTTTTTAAAATTTGCAGAAGTTGTCCTATTTTACTATTACAGAAGGTGTGTCTTGTGAAGTTGGATATTTTAGTTTGACAGTTAACCAAATAGTGTCACTTTCTAATTTGGGGATTTTTTTTCGTCTTGTTTTTCCAGGTGTGTAACTGGTTCATCAATGCACGACGGCGGCTCCTCCCAGAGATGCTGAGAAAAGATGGAAAAGACCCCAACCAGTTCACCATCTCCAGGAAAGGCAGTAAAACGAGTGATAGTTTCTCAGACAGCTCCCAGTCCCCGAAACATAGCAGTCCCACTGCGGTCGCCGAGGAGGCTTGCGACAAACGCATCCTCCACCCCTCCAGCTTTGATCCCAGCATTCCCAGTGTCCTGAGGAAGCCCGTGTCTCCCTCAGTGTCCTCTCCGGTCTCCTCGTCTCCCTCTCTCGGCCTCATTCCAAATCGTCCCTCTGTCATCTGTCACACCACTGTCACCACAGCCATGCAGGCCAGCCCGACAGCCTCCCACCCTTCACTGCCAGGGATGAACTGTGACAGGGCGGCCGAGCTGCTGCAGTCCATGCCGGCTCAAGCCGCGTTCCGCTGCCGGGATGAAGGGCCACTAACCGCCACCACCACCATCCTTGGCACCAGCATGGAAGGCAACCTGAGCCCCCGCAGCGGTCTGTTCAACACCCCTCCCCCAACCCCTCCAGACCTCACACAGGACTTCAGCGGCTTTCAGCTCCTGGTGGACGTGGCTCTTAAACGGGCTGCAGAGATGGAGCTGCAGGCCAAGCAGCTGGTGTCCTAAAGGAGGGAAAGGAGACTGACTTTGAGTCTCCAATGTGGATTTTCTTTTCTGCACGCAAGAGAGAACAAACCTACACAAAAGGCTGATCATTTCTACTTTTGGTATACCAGTCGACATGATGAGGATGTATTTGTTTTTTTGTTGTTTTTTTTCTAAAGACTCTATCAAGGTGCCTTGGCTGTAAGTTTAGTCATTTCATATACTTGCATATGTATCTACATGTGTATTTTATTTGCACACAGTGACCAAAAACCTTATCAAAGAAATGCTGCCTATCTTTATGTCTTTGACTTGTACCGAATATTGAGGTAGAGGGATGAGGCAAGAGTTGGGTGATTCAGATGGGCTGCGTCCACACACTTTGACGGTTAAAAACATTTCAGAGTTCCTGATTTGCTCTGCCTCGTTTGTTTGCACACTAAAGGCAGAAAAAAAAGGTCATCTCATTGTCTTACACTTTGCTCTTGGCATCCATCGATGAAAAAAAAACGTATTCACTACTGTAGTTAATGTTTAACTGTTTTCATACGTATAGTTATGATTTTGTCATTTACTTTTAGCTATTTTAAAACCAACTGTTTTTCTTTATAATCGTATTTTCATACCAAGGGATGTTTTCAGATGTCAAATGTAGCAGGTTCTTAGACTGAGCCTTTACCCCCCCCTCCCTCACCATCACTCAGAGGAAAATGATGGCCAGTGGACTGTAAAACTATAAACACTACATATTTGCCGTTAAACAAACTGAAAAAGATACATTTTCTTTCTTTTGAAATCACCAAAAACAAGCATTTGCTTGCTTCTAATAGGATCATGTGTACAGTTAATGTGACACACTGCCACATGATGTGATTTCTTTTTCATACTGTGCAATGTTTGTGACAAGATGCCGTCACATGGGATTCAAATAAAGTTTTGTTTTTTTCTACATCTTGAGGGTTTTCTTTTATAAAAAAAAATTATTAGCTTAATTAACTAATTACTATGCCTTAAAAGGAAATTTCAGGACATTTTGCGAGTAAGGCGTTGCTTTTTGTCTGAAGCATTGATTT